TCCCTACATACATTTTAATATACATTTCTTTAAGTATTTTACATTTAGCATTTTAAATAGAATTACATTTTAAATGGCATTTTAAATGCAAAAATACCCAGCCTTGCATATTATAGAATAATATGCACCGTGTATTAAGAATATGTGCAGTTTAAATTAAATAAATAAATAAATAATAGATATTGTCGATTGTTAATGATAAAATTGAAAAATGTCTATGACGTATTGCATACTTGGTAATACGTTAAACCTTCATATCTTGTTTATGATTTTTATTCCACATTAAATGTGGTGGCACGGCTCTAATAAAAAGACCGCTGTTAGCGGTTCACTCTGTTAGATATCAAGGAGCAATGATAATTCAATCCGTTAAGTTAAATAACATTTTGTTATTTTCAAAACTTCCATATGTGTCAAAATGTAAATCAATTAATTTCAATAATTAGTTTTAAAGTAAACAATATCCACAAATTAACCTATATACATTTACTAAATAATAAACTTTTGAGCTAAGTTTAATGTTCTTGAGTAAATTGTCTAACTCCATTGTTTTAGTTAAATTAACGACATATTGAATATATATGGCGACTTATAAAAATGATAAAAAATAACTCAAATTGGGTATAAATTGACATTATGAATTTAACAGTGTAGTGTAATATATAGAAGTTTGTACATTCACTTTGTCTCTTAAGTCTTCCTTTTTTTCCTTGATCTTCCTTTAATTTCCTGTCGACTATTTTTATCACCAATTATTTCACGACTCCACACGTTCGCGTGTATTCCAAGCATGCAGTTCCACTTCTTTGCCGTTTACCTAAAAAAATTGCACAGTTTCCTTGCCTTTCATTTATCATCTTGGGTTCTTTTTTCCTTTTAATATCGATAGTTCTTTCATTCATCGACACATATTTTGTGTTCCTTCGATCTTTTCTTGATCTGCATGTACATGATATACAATTCAAGCATGTTAAATAAAAAAGTCTTGCCTCTTCACATGTATGTTTGCCTAAAAATTATTTTTATCGGTATTGTAAAATTGTGTTTTTTCCACATGATTATCCGTCTGAATTCCAATAAATGTTGACGGTCGTCTCCTTGATCTCTTTGCATTTTTCACCTCGAAATAAAAACAGTCTTGTCAAAAGTAAGTGTTCACTTGAACGAAGAAGTGTAATTCTTGTTTTAATGAATAAATCTCAAATCTCTTGAATTAATGAATAAAAAATTATACGATGGAAATCGTAGGTCACTTCTTACAAAGGGATAGTATAAACTTTTGAAATTTGTAGAAAGTGCAACAGGCGAATGGATATAGATATCATAACAGCTGTCGTTCGTGGATTAATTTTCTAATGGTGAAATGCGGTTTTTCTGCATCGCCATCGGCTCATAAAACTTTGACGATCTCTATGCTCCGTCTCTTTCCCATAATCTGCTCGATAAAACGCTTCGTTGCATTTGCGACAACCGTTTTTCGCAAGGGATCACTTTAAACAATGCGATGCACTAATAAGCGCATGAATTTGTTCGCGACTAATCGAGAAACATCCTTGTAATACCCTTCACTAAAGTTCCAAAAAAGTTCTAAAAAAGTAATTTAATAAATCTAAAAAATCTTTTAGCTCTCCTATAATTCAAATTGTAATATATTATGGAATAAAATGAACAGAGTTTTAGAATTTTTATTCTTCTCAAAGCGATGTGATTAAAAAAATAACTATATCGCATGTTTACATGTACAAAAATAGTTATCGTAATAATTATCAAGGGCATCATTTTAAATTGTTGATTTTATAATGTACATATATATGATGAATATTTCATGTGACGATTTTAACTTTAATGAATTATAAATATTATTATATTGTTTAAGTTATTTATAAAAGATATAATAATCTAAAATTAAGTGTATATGTATATAATGTATATCTTTAAATTTCCTAAATATATGTTCTTCAAATGATGGAAATTTAATTAAAAATATAATTTTCAATTACTATCAATGAATACTTGTTCTTTAATCAAAACTATTTTTTTATCAACAGTCTTAATTTAGGCTAACATTCGAACTCATGAATAATGCTATTCTTTCATCTGTCAGGCGATGTTCGAGTAAGTGAGTAATATAGCACCACGAGTTACTTGATTACCGTCAAAATTACTTAGTTACATGCAATGCAGACCAAGGTTTAACATTAAAATCAGACAGAAGGAGTTATTAAATAATCATCGCATTACTCCAAGTCCAATTTCGGCAAGAGAAGAACGGGGAAGAAACATTAATATCGTGATCGATTATTATATATCTTCGACAGTTTGCGGTTCGACTTTAAAGGCGTTGATTGTCACAGAACTATATTTAAGCGTCATTGCGCGTTATTGTAATTATAGGTTACGATAGATAGAATTTCCATGTTCTCTGTGCATACAATTCAGGATTCTCACTGTTTTGTTTGTCGCAAAAAGATAGATTTTCACTCAACTATTTGCGTATATATAAATATTATTCTAATTACTACTATATGTAAGAGTTCTGCCGTTCCTCCGGAATTAATTTACTTGACACCTGCTGTCTATTTCAGAAGGAAAAATTTGGCAACTCTAGGGCAAATCTTCACGCCAAATAATTAGACCTGACAACCACGCTATAATATTAACGGCGACATTTTAATTGCACGCGAATCCAGGCAATTGCGTTTTGCAGGTTGCGGCATACCGATCGTCTCGAAACAAATCGCGCAGAGGAGGATCGTTGGCGGTGACGAGGCCGGTTTCGGCAGTTTCCCGTGGCAGGTCAGATATGATGATAATGTGAGACACCTTGAGCCTAATACACAATTGAAAAGTACAGGAATAGGAAATAATAAATTTCAATCTATCAGAAACTGTGTATTCTGATACAGACTGTTTCTAATATAGGTTGAAATATCTTTTTGTTCTTATTGCCTGTACTTTTCAATTGTATATTAGGCTTTAGTTCGGATTTTGATAAAACTTATCGTTAAAATTATTTTTTTGTTTTGACAGGCTTACATACGGATCGGTTCTAGCAGATGTGGCGGCACTTTGGTCAATCGATTTCATGTTGTCACCGCTGGGCATTGCGTTGCAAAGTGAGTGGGGAACAATTTGTTTGCATACGAGTAGCTCATTAGCAGAAGTCGTTATCTCCATTTAAATTCTTTTTGGCGAGAACGAAAAAATTTGTATAATTTTAAAATAATTATGTATTAAATTTTAAGTGCAAATTGTTACTAATTAGAATATTTAATAAATTTTTCGAATGTTTTAGAGCGTCGGCGAGACAAGTCCAGGTTACTCTCGGCGATTATGTGGTGAATTCCGCGACCGAATCTCTGCCAGCTTATACTTTTGGAGTTCGAGAAATCAGAGTGCATCCTTATTTCAAATTCACGCCACAAGCAGACAGGTGTGTTCGCATGTATTATTAATACACTTCATATGAATACTTCGAATGCACATCGTGAATGCTGAACAGAATGAACTCTATTGATTTCACTCTCATATTTGTCGTTTATCAGGTTTGATGTGGCCGTGCTTCGATTAGATCGACCAGTTCATTACATGCCCCATATAGGGCCTATATGCCTACCAGAAAAAAACGAAGATTTTCTAGGGCAATACGGCTGGGCTGCGGGATGGGGTGCTTTGCAAGCAGGTAGAACTTAATGAAAAAAATCATTTTATTCGTCCATTATAATTTTAAACTCACTTTTCATTTCTCGTCTTATAAATTCTGGATTAAAATTCTTTAGCTTACTGGATAATTCTTGCAGTATTAATATAATAAGCATTACCTTGGAGAAAAAATTTTTATTGAAAAATATTTTTAAAAGTTTTAATAATATTTTTTTAATGTGTGATAAAACTTAAAATTTATAAAGATTTCTGAAACAATATTTTAAACTTTTCCAAAGTTTTTACAAGTTTTTTTTTCAATTATGGAAGGAGAAACCTTATAAATTTTAGAATATATATATTTCAGAATTATAAATATAACAGAAAGAATTATACTTCTGAAAAGTGTGGTCCAATTAAAAAGATTTGAGAAATTTTCTAGAAAGTTAGAAAATTATACAGAGAGAAAGTCTGAAAAACAATTTTGAAATATTATAAAGAATTTTAGAAAAAAATTTCACAGAGTGACTTACATGCATACATATTCAAAGAGAGAAATAAAATATCTCACACCTAACTTTATATTGATTTGCTATAAATAATCAATATCTTGTCATTTACTTACCTTTTATTAATTATTTATCTCGTTATATGAATTATTTAGGTTCTAGATTACGGCCGAAAACATTACAAGCGGTAGACGTGCCCGTGATCGATAATCGTCTCTGTGAGCGGTGGCATCGGTCCAATGGCATCAACGTCGTCATTCATGACGAGATGATGTGTGCCGGTTACCGCAGCGGCGGTAAGGATTCGTGTCAGGTAAGCGCTTTCGTCATCGTGGGTGCGTACTGTTTGAACGATGAATTGTCATTCCGCTTCTTTCTTCTCTCATCTCTTCTTCGCTAACGCATTTTCTTAAGAATACGAGCCATTTAAATTTCAGGGTGACAGTGGAGGTCCATTGATGTTGGAGAAAACTGGCCGATGGTACCTCATCGGCATTGTCTCCGCAGGTTATTCCTGTGCACAGCCAGGTCAACCAGGGATCTATCATCGCGTGGCCAAGACTGTCGACTGGATCACGTATGTCATAAACTCGTAACGCATCCTCAACCGCTGAAGAACTATTCTCAGGAGGAGAGATCTTGAGAATCCTGAAGAGCCGCGAACTTTGCATGACACAAAATTCGGGCATCTTTCATGTCGGAGAATGATTTCCGGGATCTAGATCACGTCTGAGAAATTATTCTTCGAGTGATTAGTCTGAAAATCAACGTGACAAAAGAGTTTAACGAGGAGGTTAATTTAAACTGACTTCCAGAAAACGGACCATGCCTAATGAAATTAAGGGGATGCTGGAGCGACGGCCGAACTTGATCGAGGTCGACTTGATAGTACAGACTTTTTTAAATTCCAAATTCGATAATAGTGACATCTTTCATTCATTTCTTATATTTATTATACAGAGTGTTCCCGGATTAAACCGCGAAACTTAAAATATAAATTCAGGACTTCAAAACAAACAAAAATTTTCCTCATATGCTTGCAAACGCTTCGTTTAAGAAATTTTTACTTCTGAAGTTACAGAACTGTAGGAATGAATAATGTCGAAATAATGTCGAAATAAGGTCTATCCTTATTTATTATTGTTTCACATAATAATCAAAATTTAATTATTAAATATTTTGTTCAAAATAATAACCTCCAACCCAGAGACAAGCATTACATCTATCAATGAGAGAACGAATGGCTGACTGACATTGTGCGTTTGTGATTTCTTTGTACGCTTGCACAATTCTTCGTTTTAATGATTGAAGATCATTAACAGGCATTTTGTGAATGAAGTTCCTAACGCAGAACCAGATCTTCGGGTGCTTGTTGATGGTTTTGATCGAAATGCTGTAATATGATGGCTTTTCTTCTTTCATTTTGCAGTGATGCAAAACTCCATCAGCCCGGGGAACCATATTAAATGATCCAGTTTCCTTCAGTCGCTGAAATGTTAAAGAGAACACTGATTTATCCGATAATCTTCTGTTCGGAAATCGCGCGGCGTATTTATAGCGAGCAGCGTTAACATTTCCATCACAAAACTCATATAAGATATATACCATATCGGAATATTTATTACTAGAATACGTATGAGGTATTTTTATAAGTTTATTCTACAAAAGCAACAATTCAACGAACTAATAGCTACGAGCTACAACTATGAGCTTTGCGAACTCAAAAGTTTATCAATGATCTTCGAGCTTCAAAACAAAAACAAAAGATATTTCAATTATTCATTCCTACAGTTCTGTATATCTTCAGAAGTAAATGAATGAAGCCTTTGCGAGTATACGTTCAGAGTTAAATTTTTGTTTGTTTTGAGTCCTGAATTCATATTTTAAGATTGGTGGTTTAACCCGAGAATATCCTCTGTATATCGTTATATGCCACTCTTAGAACATACATACTGAAAGGGCCATAGGTGACTATCGATGTCTCCAACATCTATTTGTCCTTGTCTGAATGTTTCACCGTAATGCGCATGCGTCGATTATTATTATTATGTAGTGTTTAAGAGTGTTGTATTCTCCCCGCTCTCGCCTTAGAACATACACATGTATGTTCAGAGCTTACATATAAATCACGCGCAAGCGCACAGCAAACAAGCTTTCACACAAGGACAGACAGATGTTGGAGACACTTTTATTACATTAGTTAGATACGGTATAGCCATTCCAGAGTTCCAGTATGTATGTTTTAAAGTGTCACTCAAACGCATTCATCTGTCCTTATCTATATTGCAACGCCATCTCTTGCAAGATCGAGCATCTACTGTTAGACATAGTTACTACTTTGTTTACCATTCCGAGTCGCTCAGCATTCACGTAATTTGCAGATTGATATAAATCTTTTTTTTAAGTTTTTAATCTTATTCACATTACGGTCTTAATAAATCATTTATTATTGCTTTTAATCTTAGTTTCATAAACTCAGTATTGTTTGTGCATATAAAACGTTGAGTGCTGAACTGTCATTTTGTTCATAAGAGTTATAAAACTTTTGTATTAAGGAAACATCTACATCAGGTACAGCTCTATGAGTTGAAAAAATATAAGTTTTTAACTTTTTTTTCGATTTTAGTATAAAGTCCACTGCAGCACCACCAAATTTTGCGTCTACTTTAATCCTGTAAAAGGATTTTTTATTCTGTTCAGTAAATTCAAAGATTTATGTCAATCTGCAATGTCCCCACAACTTGGTCATTTCAGCATCCCCTTAAAGCCATTTTACTTTACGAATGTAAAAGTAATTTAGAGTGAAATCCATACGTCGCACCGTGGAGCAGAAATCGAAGAATACGTACATAAATAGAAAACTCGAGTTCTAGATAAGGAAACTACATCTTTGTATATATATATATATATATATATATAGGTTTGAAAGATAATTAATTATAAATCTGACGTCAAAATAAAAAAATTAAAAATGGCGGATATAACATGACAGCCACACAAAATTTTATTTATAAATTAAGGGGATCCTAAAGCGAAGCTCGAACTCCGACAAAGTCTACTAGATGTCGCTGTTTTTCCAGCGTATCGACATGTCTTTATCGTAGTGGAAGGATACTAGGTAGAGGTATTGCGCACCGTGCTCTTCCAGTAATGGGAGGGGGGAAGGAAACAACCAATAGCAATTTGTTCTGGGAACACAAAACGATGAAAATATCAAGACCCACGTAACCAGGATCGCACGGATTATTCCTTATTGGTTGTCTCTTCTCCCACTACTTTTTTGCTATTGAGCAACTCCGGGATTACCTCACTTTGTATCCTTTCATGATGGTCTTTATATACTACCACACCAATCTCACGCAACCTATGATACACGTTCGTGTCAATTTTCGTATTACAAATTCGTCGCGATAAAACGTCTAAGTCTAATTCTAAGAACTCGACGTTATTTGTTCGTGCAAATACGTGTTTGTGGATTACTATTTCGTAAGTACAGGTTGCAAAACTTTCGTATCAAGCAAATGTTGTCACGACTTGACAGCTTGAGACGCCATGTCACACTAAGAAATGGTAAAAAATATATCAATTTCGAAATTTTTGATCATTCTCGGCATAAACTTCACCTCACAAACACATATTAATACGTATGCTTTAATCCTGGAAAAGGATTTTCGAATCTGTGAAAGAAAAAGAAGTATTTGTTATATAAAAGTTATATGATTTAGTCGGTAATACAGACGGCTTTAGGATCCCCTTAAACATATACAGTAAATTAAACATATACAGAGTGTCCCAGAATAACCGCCAAATATTTTATGTGCTAATAGAGCGGACTAAACTGAATCGAAAAGTCCTTTACCATTTTGCAATTTTCGCAATAGTTAACAAGATACTAAAATTCACCGAACGGTCTTCAATAATTTTTTTATTCAAGTATTATCAATTTTATAAAAAAACAGCAAGAGATAACAATTGTTTATTTTCTTCTCATAGAGCTCTAAGAATTTTTTAAGAATTTTTTATCAACTTTTTAGTACTGCATTTTCTAATTGGCAACTATTTTTACCAACATGAGAAAATGTGGTATTAAAAAATTCTTAAAAAATTTTTAGAATTTTATTAGAAAAAAATAAACAATTTTTGTCACTTCTTATTTTTCTGTAAAGTTGATAGTACTTGAATAAAAAATTATTGCAACCAATATTCGGCAATATTTTGTAATATATATTATTAACTATTATATAATAGTAATTATATAATATATAAGATCTTCAACATATCAAATTTTCGGGCAATTCGATTTCTATAAGGTTTGTACGGGGTTTTTTCTTATGAAACTTTCTTATGAAACAAATAATTGAAACTTTAACATGTTTGAGAGCTGAAATGATGAATATCAAATAGTTCATGTTTAACAAATCCTTAATAAAGGACAGAATGAAATAATTTGGGATTTAAAAATTATATTAAATGATCATACAATAGTAATAATAATAAAATACTTCAAAACAAAAAAAGTATTGTATTATTTCATTTTTGTGGCACTTTTGCATACTTTCTTCGATTTCTGACCCACTGTGCGTCACAGACATTGTTGTAATAAGGGATTTCGTATTTCCGTCAATATCATTTCAAAAGCGAATAAAGGCTCGATGTTTCCTTACAATGTGTAATACAGTGTTATATAATTGTATCTCTATTGACATAAGCAGGCGGCGAAAGTGTGTTGTAATTTTTACGATCTGAATGTATTGTAAATTAAGCGTGTATGATATACGTATGAATTTGCGCTTAATAAATATTTTGTTTTTGATTTTATTACTGAATGATTGATTATTTTCTCTTTCCAGTCTATGCCGTAGTAACATTAGTTATATTATTTTTCCAATTGATCTTAATATATTTGAATGCACTAATGCTATAATAATCGTATTACAATTGTAACTAGAACAGAATTCTGCACCATTCGAATAATTTTTTATTTAAAATATTATTCAAATAAAATTTTATTTATTATTTGCGTTATTTATTTATTTTTTACATTATTCATTATTCATATTATTCGTCATTATAGTATTGATCATTATTCGTTATTCGTATTATTCTTTATTCGTATTATTCGTTATTTACATCATTTCATAATTGGCATTATTCGTTATTCGCATTATTCTCTCTCTCTTTCTCTCTCTCTCTTTCTCTCTCTCTCTCTCTCTCTCTCTCTCTTCTCGTTATTATATTATTTTATATTATTATATTATATTATTTTATTTCATATTGTATTGTTCCTAGAATATAACCTTTCTCGAGCCACTATACGGAAATAAAGATATACCGGGTGTTCAAAATAAAGCGTTATAAATTTTTATCTCGGAAACAGAATGTAGAAAACGTCCTTATGAATGTATAGGGGTGAATTCCAGTATTTGACGAAGTACTCGTACGTTTGTTACAGAATGGGGTATACGGTGATTTTCGATTCAGCAACTTCGAAAATCACCGTATACCCCATTCTATAACAAATGTACGAATACTTTTCGTCAAATACTAGAATTCATCCCTATACATTTATAAGGATGTTTTCTACCCTTAAAACGGCTTTTGGGCAAATAAGAAAAATACATGTCAGATATTTTTTAATGTACTACATGTATGCACAGTCTCAGGGAAATCGGCGTATGGCACTTGGGTAGTGTTACTTGTTAGAGACACGGCAATAAGTTGTACGTCATACATGAAAGCTTGTGCGTTACTTACGTCTACAACTTAAGTCTAAGTAAGTATTATTACGACAATTCTTGCGTTCAGATCCTTAGTCCGGATCTACAATAGGTGTTTTAA